AAAGATTGTGAGTTGGATCTAGAAAGCAGTGAGGTTGTGGGAGGTCAGATTCTGAGGTAAGGTGAGAGTAAAGGATAGTAAATAGGTGTAGTGTGTGAGATAATAGAGTTAACCACTACAGTAACAGAGTTCAGGAAATCGTGCATTGGGCTAAGATCTGGGATGGGTATTGTGTAGTATTTACAATTGTATGGAACAGCTATTATTTAGAATAATATTAGAGCAACAATCATATGACAGAATCTATGTGATCTGGATAACGAGAATAGGGAGTATAGGACCTTGAGTACTGTGCTAATGGAACACTACTGAAGTGAGGGACAGTAAATTAGCAATACACTATAAAACAGGGAACAGAGGAAACCTGTTAAATGATACAATATAACCATCCAAACAAAGAAGACTATACAGAAAGAAGAGGAACACAAAAATACTATTAAAATAAAAGATGTAAGAATAATGAAAAAATAATAATATGAATATGCAATAACCTGCAGGTCTCTGTAATAGCAAAATGAAATTAGTCACACTCTCTCAGCTGTAGGATGCCTCCTCTTTTGGTCCAGCTCTGGTCTTTTCATAGTTTCTGTTTTGTTTTGTTTTTTTTTTTTTGTCTCACTTGTGGGTATTCAAAAAAAGCAGAAGAAGGAAGGAAGAAGGGATAAAATTGGAAAGCAAGGAAGAAGGCATAAAACAGGTGAAGAAAGAAAGAGAGGGAAGAGGAATTGAAAAATAAAAATAATAAAAATAAAAAAATTACTTCAAACAAAAAAAGGATCTTGTTGATTTCAAACTGGCCCGACCGGTTTTTCTGGTCTTGCTGGTTGCAGCAGTCTAAGGGGCAGTTGGTATGGCTTTTCTCCCTTTTTGATCTGCACACAGTCAGCCTTGCATGAACTCTCCCCAGAGCTAATTTGCTGCCTTTCCCTGGAGCCTTGTGTGTAGGATCCAGGCCTTCCTGAAATCCCACTTTCCCCTGGCTTACTGCTGCAGGCATGGGTGCAGGTGTGCATGCACTCTGCCAGGCTGCCTTGGTCCCACAGGTTCCAGCATGCACCCTTCCCAGTGCTATGGGGGTGCGCAGGGCCTTCCAAGCAACCTCGGGATCACTGCCTGGCTGTGTGTGGAGTAGGCTGGAGTGATTGCTGCAGGAAGATTCCCCAAACAGTGTCTCTCTTTTCACTTTTTCTTTTTAAGAAATTCCTCCTATTCAAGCCTGCTGCTCTGTTCTGCAGACTGGCTTCTCACACAGCCAATTCTCCAGCACAGCCAATTCTTCAGCCAGACAGGGACTGTTGGGGTGAGGGACTATCACTGCACGACTCTCAACTCTCCCCAACTGGTGTTCACAGACTCCATGGGTGCTCACAGCCCCTGTGGGTTTGCCACTTAGTCCTTATTCCCCTCTCTGCTACTTCAAGCAACCAGGTCTCTCCCGGTGCTGCTTAAACCTTGTTTGACCAAGAAGGGAACAGTTGAGCAGGCTCTCTCTCAAGGGCCCTTTGGCGGACCCGGTGTGCGCCAGCCTGGGGCTGCAACTGCCCTGGTCCCCATGCTGGTCCCTGGGACCTTATTGTCCTGAAGCACTCTCCTTACCATCTGGTTTTTCAGTGTCCGCTACAATTTTTGGTCTCTTATTTTCATATATGCTGTGGTACTGTTGGCTGTTCGCTCTATTCCTCTGTAGATCAGCTAGGTTTTTCTCCCGTGTGTAGGGGGAAGTGAATTTCAACTCCTTAACAGTTAAGGAGTAGTTACATTTACACAGTCCTAAAATTATTTTGGCCCTTTGGAGGCAACCATGCGGCTGATGTGGCCCCCGGTGAAAATGAGTTTGATATCCCTGCTCTATCTATAGCAATTTTCATGATTTTTCTTCATCTACCACTTATGAGGGAACCTTTGTGTTTTTATTAGCTAGGTACACTGATTCATCTGTGTATGTGTTCAATAGCCAATTTCAAATAAAATAACCCATATAAATCATATATTAAACATTAAGTATTTTTCAAAACCCTCTAACTCCAGGATTACATCCCAAAATTGGTAGATTGTGGGCCAAATCAGTCTCTACTCTCCACTTCATTTTGGAAACTTTTTAAGAATGTGCTGAAGACATCCAGCAGGATGACTAAGTACCTAAAGGTCATTGTTCAAATTCAAAGGGGCTTTTGCCATCAGCGGGGTACTAGGGTGAGGGATGGATGATCAGGGAGTTTCAGCAGCAAGTTGAAATGCTTTATGCTGGGGGTGGGGGCAGATTTGGGGCTGTTCCACTGTGAATGGGCACAGCCTTCAGAGGAGGCAGCAGTGATGAGCTTGGTCAGAATACCAGGTTTCAGATTTGGACAGGAATGCACACAGGGGAAGACCAGGTGAAGGGTGCTGTCCTGTGGGAAAGTGCTTGGACTGGACAGAAATGCCAGCATCTCAGCTCTCAATGAACCCTGGGATTTGGGCAGGAGGGCCTTAGGTAAATAAAGGCCACAGGCAGTACTCAGACTGTGTTTGATTTGCATCATCACTTTCCTTCCTGAGGCCTGCTTTTAGTACCTGGACCACAGGGTCCCTCTTTTTGTTGCCAAAGACATTAGGCAGTACTGAGAAGAGATATGATTTATGAGTCAGAAGGTCAGCCACAGCATAGAATGGGTAGAAGCAGCATGAAATCTAGATGAACTCTAGATGAACTCACATCAGGGGTCCAGTCTTGGCTCTGTCGCTTACTAGCCATGTGATACTGGGGAAATTACCAGGCTCTATGAGCCTCAGGTTTTTCATCTATAAAGTATGTGTGTTTGATAAGCCCTGACTTGTAGGACTTCAGTAACATATGAAGAGTTTGTAAAGCATCTCACACAGTGCCTCGTGTATATTGAAACTTTGATGAATGGCATTTTATCCAGTATTATATTACCCCCAAGCCCTATTACCCTGTACTCCAGAAAATTTTTGTTTGTTTGTTTTTTCAGATTTCAGAGAATATGCAATGCAAAAGAACACAGAATTTTATATTAGCCCAAAATACTGCTTCATAAATAAAAATCAGTACATTTTCCCTCCCAGAGAATTTATTATTTAATTTGGGTGTGGGGGAGTCTTCCCCAGCTAGATGTAACTAAAATCTCCTAGAATTTGAGCCAAAGACCAACTTCTTCCCTCTCTCAGCAGCTCTTACATCCAAACCACAATTTTCAGTCATTTCAACCCCATTGAATAGCTTTTGCTTAGATCTGTGCAAATTACACTCAAGATAATCTAATTAAGTATCATTTTTAATACAGTGAACCTGGTGTTCTGTGGCCAGGGAAGAGTGTCAGTCTAGAGGTTTCTGGGCATTCACAAAGGGATATCACTGGATTTCCCAGAAATCCTTGCAGATGATACCTATAAAATATCTAGTTTGTACAGTGTATTTAAGTGTACAGGGACAAGAATGTGGACACCTTCCATATATGTCTGAGGTGAAGATTGCTTTCTGGTTTATGCACCATCCCCAAAATAACTGCTAAGTACAGTTTTCCATTCTAGACTATTTTTCTCATTCCCCAAGACATGAAGTCTGTGAGTCTGGCCACCACTCCACCCAGCTGCATTACAATGAACTCCTCCAGAAGGACTCACAGTTTCCCACAGCTTCAAATGTCCTGGCTTGGGCTAGGACATTTGAGTGCTCTCCCCTGGAGTGCTCTCCCCTGGTGTCCCACCACCTCTCCCCTTCTTTTACTTATTCTGTAGGTCTTACTCACTACCTTCCTTATGTTACGATGGCTTCTAGACTATTATTCTGGGGATTGGTGTGTACTGCTCATACTAGTGTCCCCACTACTTAACCCACTACCTTCCTGGGAGCCAATGTTTAATTAATGATTGTGGGAGAAATGAGCCACTAAGCAGGGGTCTTATTTAGTCAGATTTAATTTCTCCTAAATTTAATTAATTTTTAAATAAGCCAAGCACATCCAGGTACACATCTTTTAATTTTATAGAATGACACAATAAAAGGGATAAAGGAGGGCCAGAATTTTTTTTTTTAACTTTTTTCTGTATTCCTTGTCCCCACCAATTTTACTTCTGACTTCTTTCACATTTCCAAGGAAATTTTTTAATACCATTCTATCTTGTTCTACATCACAAAATAAGATGCAAGGTTTCTCAATTTGTCTTACAAAATAACAAAATGCAAAGAATCTTAAAAGCAGCAAATGAAAAACAACTTGCTATGTACAAGACACCACATCTCCCCAGCCCATAGGACTATCAGCAGATTTTTCAGCAGAAACTTTGCATGCCAGAAGGGAGTGACACAATATATTCAGTGTTGAAAAAAATTTTTCAACCTTGAATATTCTTCCCAGAAAAGTTATTCAGAATTGAAGGAGAGATCAAGTTTTATAGACAAGTAAAAACTAAAGGAATTCATCACTACTAACCTGTCTTTATAAGAAACACTAAAAATGATTCTTTTAAGCTGAAAAGAAAGGGTGCTAGTTAGCAACAAGAAAACATATGAAAGTATAAATTTCAGTGATAAAAGTAAATACACAGTAAAGGTCGTGGATTAATCACTTATAAAGCTAGTGTTAAAGTTAAAAGACAATAGTAGTAAAAATAACCCTAAATACAAGATAGGCAAAACACTCACTTCTTAAACTGTACAAACAGCAGTATATTTGTGACCAATGTCATTTGTAAATTTAGAACTTACTTTAAAAATTAATTAACTTAATCAATCAATTAATTAGGAACTAATTAATTTAATTATTTTTTTATTAATAAGAACATCTGGAAATACCAACAATTAATTAAGGACTTAATTAATTAATTTTTCATTAATAAGAACATCTGAAAATTCCAAAAAGAAATTAAAAGTCTCCAAACCACCCTTATAGAAGAACACAAAGGTGTTATATACTAAATTCACCAGTTTCCATTCTGCCTCTCGACCACTTAAAATAATGATTGCACATTTCAAAACGGTGAAAAATATGCCTCATACTTCACTTAGGGCAACAGAAACTGCCAAATGTGGCTCTAGAATAGGCCCAGACCCTGGTCCTGGCTGCCCCATTGTCACTGACAAAAAGTCTGGCTTGAGATCTCTCTTCCTCATCTCTCAAAGCCTCCTTATACAAGATAGGAAGGGTCATGGGTATGGTATCATTAACCTTGGCCAAAATATCCAGGTCTTTCATCTTGCTGGTTTCAGCATAGGCTCTGGGACCTCACAGGAATTCATAGCATGCAGGATTACTGTTGAGCACCTTCCAGTACACCAGGTACTGTTCCTGCACCCAATCTTTCATGATGAGCTTCCTAGGCTCTCCATATATGAAGTGCCCCTTCCCATTATACACTCCCATAATGCTCAGCACTTCCCAGAGATCCTCCTCGGGGGCACAGTTGCCATCAATGAATATCACATCCAGAATATTTATCAAGAGGCCAGTCTTGGGCATACTCTGCTCATCATTCAACATCCCATTGTAGATGAAGCCTGAGGTGTTGACCAGAACATAGGAGTGGCTGGTAGGATCCATTTCCTTCACATCAATGCCAAAGACCAGCTGCATGAACTCAGATGCTTGGTTAAAGATCACAGGGAAGTAGTCCTTGTACTCTTTGATGACACTACTTAACATTTCTGCTTTTCTGTTTGGGTCCTTTGTTCTATACTTGAGGAGCAGGAACTCCACCAGAGCAGCCACCTTATTCTCTATGGCATCTCTAAGCAAGAGCCCAATGTCTAGCCAAGGTTGCAAAGTCCTTGGTTCCTCCTCTTCCTGACAATTAGAGTCCTGATATGATTTGATTTATGGAGTGACTTCCATGACAGTGGGAGAGAAGTAGGCTCTCTGAGGAAACTGGAGGGGGCATGGTACCCTAGCAACAGCAGCAAGTACCTTCATCATTCCTGTTATCTGACAATGGCAGAAAGAAAGAGGGGAGGAAGAGGAGGAAGAGGAATAAGAAGAGCAGGAGCACAAGGAGCATGAGGAAGAAAAGGAGGAGAAAGAGGAGGTAGAAGAAGAGAAAGAGAAGGAGAAAGAGGAAGAAGAGGATGGGGAGAAGCGAGAGGAAGAATAGGAGCAGCAGCAAGACGAGCAGGATGAAGAGGAGGTAGAGGAAGAGGAGGATGAAGAAGATGAAGAAGAGGAGGTAGAAGAAGAAGAGGAGGAGGCAGAGGAAGACAAGGGGGAAGAGGATGAGGAAGAGGGAGTGGAGGAAGGAGAGGAGGAGGAAGAAAAAGATGGAGAGGAAGAGCAGGAACAGGAGGGGATGAAGTAGGTGGTTCCCTCTTCCTTAGTTTCAGGAATATGTGCACTAAAGAGGCCCTGTGCCTCACTTTGGGACTGAGAGACTTCCTCAAGCATGTAGTACCAACACTTTGGAGTAGGAAGCATGATGACTCCTGGCAAGAATATGAGCAGGAAGTGGGCAATGAGATCCATGGGCCTGGGGAAGAGAGGAAGTGTGAGTGGCCTCAGCTGAGAAACACACCCTCTGCAGATCTAACAAAGGCAATGTAAAGGTCTTCTCTTTAGGGGTGCTTTAGGGCCTTATAGAGGTCTCTCCTCCTGAGTAGTCTGTTCTCTAAGATCCTGAATGAGGAGGTGAGATGGCTCCTCAAGGTGCTTCAAGAATTCCCAGGGTTCTAAGGCTGACCATGGGGTGAGATGGAGTTGGGTGCTGTGATGCCACCTGTTTTGAGATTGGGGAGACCCTAGGGACATATTCAGGTCATGCACCTTACCTTGATTGCTGGCACTGCCTGGGCCTCCTCTGCTCTGTGACCTGCAGTCATGTGCTTCAGACCAAGGCCTTTACTTCGCAGTTTCTGGAGCCCCTGTAAGAGGAAATGAGGTAGTGTCTGAGGGTGAGGACTGCAAATACAATCCTGGGCCCCCAGAGTTCACAGGACAGGGGGATCAGACTCTGTGGGGTTACCTTTGTTCCGAGGTGTATGGTACACTCCATGCTCACTCAGGGTCCTTACTTTACTTTTGACAGGACCCTGGGTCCACCCCTCTGCTGGCCTGAGGCAAAAATCTCAGAACAAGATCATATAACCTTGAACAAAAGGAAGTGAGGTAGCCCTACGTGTAGTCACACCTGCCCAACACTTCCAGGGGAACAGCAAGGGGTGTCCAAATACCATGGAGTCCATCTGTCCTGGGATGTGGGATCTGCTCAGTCCTCACCACGATGCCTGGTAGGGCTTCCTTCTGTTTACCTGAGGCCACCTTCCTTAAACAAAGGTCTCACATTTATGTAAGACTGAGATGAAAATGAGGGGAAACTACTGCAACCACACCACTTTAGATACTCTCATGGCTGACAGTAGTGGAAGGGAGGGCTGGGTTTTTGTACATTCTCCTGTAGGTTCACTCAATCTTCTCTCATAGTCTTTACCATGATTCCCCAAAAGGCCAAGGCCTCCTCACTCTGTCTCCATGGATACAGACCTCTGTGGTTAAACCTCACCTTCTGCAGATGCTCAAAGAGGAATCAGGAAACATTACATTCACAACCCCTTCTCCATCCCAGCCTGAAGCTGCTCAGAACTGATAGCAGGGGACCATTTCTGTAAAATCCCTTTTATTCTTGGATCCAGGATCCCATCATTCTCCCTCTGTATTCTCACTTTGATTCCCAGAAGGACCTGGGCCTTCTGTCTGCCAACCTGAGGCCCTCTCTTCATACCATGTCCCAGACTCTCTTACACCAGGATGAAGAAGTGAAGAAACACCCCTGTGGTCGTCTTGCACTGGGGCCTCCCAGGCTGACTACTTTGAGGTCCAGGTTCATTCTGTCCTCCCTGTCCATCTTGGCACAGCCTGGGTCCTCCAACTGCTGTCCTGGGGCCCTGCTTCTTCCTTATACCAAGCCTTCAAGGTCTCTCAGACCCCAAAGGGATGGTCAGGAAACTGCACAAGTGGTTCTCCCACTCTAGGACCTCCTAGGAGTGAGTGTTCTGGGGTCCAGGCTCCCTTAGTCCTTCCTCTGCATCCTCACTTTGACTCCTGGCTGGACCTGGACCTTCCCCTCTGTGTACCTTATATCAATTTCCTAGTCTCTCTCAGACCTGGATGTGGAAGTAAAGAAATGCCGCATGTGGTCGTCCTTCTATGGGGATTCCCAGGGCTGCCAGCTGGGGTGAGCTACTGTGGGGTCCCCTTTGTTGTGGGATTCAGGGTCCCTCCATCTTCCCTCAGAGTTCTCATGTTGACTCTGACATATTCTTGGCTTTTGCTCTGCTGATCAGAGACCCTACTCCTTATACGAACCCGAGATCCTCTTAGAAATGGACACAGAAGTTAGAACGCACCACTTTTGGCCACCTCGCCCTCCAGCTCTCACAGATCTGATTTGCTTCTAGTGTCCAGGGTCCCTCATTCTCCCTTCAGTGTCCTCACCTTAACTCTGGCAGGGCATGGTCCCACTGTCTTCAAATCTGAGGTCACATTTCTTACAGCAAATCTCTAGTTTCTGAGACGCAGATGCAGAAGTCATGTGCCGTTATTGCAGCCTGAAGCCTCTCAAGCCTGATTTGGTTTGGAGTACAGGGTCCCCCCGCCCTTCCTCATATTCCTCACCTTGAGCCCTGGCAGGTCCTGGGATTTTCTATCTGTTGACTGAAGGCTACACTCCTCAGATCAAGATTTCACTGTTCTGAGTCCTCTGTAAGAAGTCAGTGGATGCCACATCTAGCCACTAAGCCTAGCAATTCCCTAGGAGGATGGTAGGGGTTGAGATGGATTCCATAGGGTTCTTTAGCCTTCCCAGTGATCTGTACTTTGACAAGGCCTAGACCCCCAGCCTTCTATGGATCTGAGTCTGCACTCCTCAGACCAAGGCTCTGACTCCCCAAATTCTCTAAGGAGGTGGTGGGGCTAAGGGGGAAGTACAAACATGAAGCCCAGCTTCTGGAATTTAAATACCTGCCTAATTCATCTTATACTGTTAAAACTTAAGTCTAGGTACTATATCTACTAAGGTGAACATCACCTCAAGATTTTAAACAAGTCTAAGATAATCAGTTGAGTAAATCTTTTCACTGAAGACAACCTAAAGGCAGTTATTTCAACCTTGAAAAGAGAAAACTGGGGAAAGCCCCTCCCCACCACCATTGACCATGGGAAAAGGAGGTGAGATGAAAAATTTCCCTGGCAGTAGCTAAGAAGTGAGTGGATTTCAAGGTGCGTTAAAGCAACCTGTAAGACAGAAGTAGGATGATTCACATCTCCACAGAGACAGCCACGTTACCTTGAAACAATTTTAGATAAGACATACAAAAACCAGGAAATGGTGAAGGGTGAAAAAGAACAATGAACTACTGACACAGGTGGTTTTGGGGAAAGGTTTATAAAAAGCATCATATACTTATCATGTGACCCACTAAAATTAAACATGGAGTCAATCAGTTTGAGAAGGCTCTTTAGGAGTGCTAAAAAGATGCCCCTTTTCTCCTTCCACAGCATCCTGTCCTCATCACTCCCCACCCCCTTGGAAGTGTCAGGATGGTGCTTTGTGATGTCTAAGATTCTCTCCCAGTGTTACCATTAGCTGGAGGAGAGAGAGCCTTGCTGACTAATTAAAGCTTATAAGGTGTGGCCCTTCATTGTCCTAGAGAAAAGTATACATTCAGGAGGCCAGGGGTAGACCCCTGGGAAATTTTGATATGGTGAGGGTCACCAAGAAACTATAAACTCCTAGCACAGTTATGAAATAACCAACCCCAAGCACCAAAAGAAGGTAAAAGAAGAAACTCTGTCAACTTAGGTCCAGTGTCAAGGATAAAAGGACCACACCCAAACTTTTCTTCCTTTTCTTTAGTGACACCTCCGAACACTCCCTTTTCTTGCCTAGCAAACCCCATTCTCAGCCAACATTTTTTGTCATGAAATTTTTTTCCCATTCATTCCCCACCATCTTCCCCCAAAACAATGTCCTTCTCTGCTCACCCTGTTGTCCTTCCATGTGCCCAAGACAACCGTGGGGGTAAAATGATGCCTGTAAGGGAGTTCAAGGACAAAAAACCTTTTCAAATATTTCCACATCTTCAAGAAAACCTAAGAAAGCTGGAATGCCAACACTAATGTGGCCACTGTCACAGGCCAAATGAGAAGCTGAATAAAAATGAGTCAGAACAAGACCAAGAAAACAGAAAAATTCAACACCTCGAGTGATGACCCAGGTAGCCAGTAACTTCAGGGCAAGGCCAAAGTCCTCAGCACTATCTGTGAAGTCTCTGAAGTCTATCCCCTGAGAAATGGCCAACAGTGTGGAGGTTAAATCTTACACCTACAGGGTACACCAGTAGTGGTAATTAAAATTGACAAGTTGTGAAAAGGTGTAGGTGGGTAGGTGTGTCTTTGAGTTCTCTGAATGTGAGGAGGGAGGAAGGAAGATAAGACTCAGGTGTATAAGAAGAGGGGAAGGTGAGCTTCTGAAGGTTTGGGGGCTCAAAACAGAAGGTCCATAGTTGGCCAAACATGAAGGATAAAGACTAGGTGAGGTCTGAGCACTGAAGATAAACAACAACAAAAGATTATACTTTATCCTATGGACAAAGAGGAAAGGAACTTGGTGTTTCTGCCTGTGCATGTTTTAGGGAAGCAGGGCAAGATGTCAGGGTATAGATTGCAAGAACTTAATGGAATGATGTGTGTGTGTGGCATTGACCCCCCAAAGGCAGACTAATATATTACCTCTAGATCACTTATCTTATAGTTGTATTTGTTGTGCCTCACCCTATGCTGTAAGCAAGTGAAGGTCCTCAAAATGAGCAAAAATATCAAGCTAGAAGTCAATGACAACACCTCCAGAACCAAAATAATTATGTTTAGATACCTGAATCCAACACTGATTAGGCTAATTTTTTGTTAAGAAACTTGAGGTAGTGTAATGCACTCCTAAAGCAGGTAATGGGAGTGATTCACTCCCAGTGCAGGCAGTAAATTGCAGAAAAATTACTGTGTTTATTGGGGTTACATTAGCTAACACAATTATATAGGTTTCAAGGATACAATTTTATAATACATCATCTATGTATTGTAGTGTGTGTTCACCACCCCTAGTTACTTCTCCTTCCATCACTATTTATCTTCCTTTACCCTCTTCTACCTGTTCCCACCCCCTTTCTCTCTTGTAATCACCATACTATTGTCTGTATCTATATTTTTGTGTGCTTAATTCCTTCACCTATTTTATCCAGTCTCCTCAGCTCCCTTCCTCTGACAACTGTCAGTTTGTTTTCTGTATCTGTGAGTCCATTTCTATTTTGTTTGTATATTTTGTTCATTAGATTGTACATATCAGTGAAATCATACAGTTTTTGTCTTTCTCTGACTGGCATATTTCACTTACCAAAATACTCTCTAGGTTCATCTATGCTGTTGCAAAGGTAAGATTTCCTTCTTTTTTTTTTTTTTACAAATGAGTGGTATTACATTGTGTAAATGTACCGCAACTTTTTTATCCATTTGTCTACTGATGGACACTCAGGCTTTTCCAAATCTTGGCTATTGTAACACTTCAATGAACATAGGAGTGCATATATTCTTTTTAATTGGTGTTTTGAGTTTTGATCTTTTTATTTATTTATTTTTAGAGAGGGGAAAGAAGGGAGAAAGAGAGGGGGAGAAACATCAATGTGTGGTTGCCTCTTGCGTGCCCCTCCCACTGGGGATCTGGCCAGCAACCCAGGCATGTGCTCTGACTGGGAATCAAACTGGTGACCTTTTGGTTCACAGCTGGCACTCAATCCACTGAGCCACACCAGCCAGGGCTGACCATTAAGCTATTGAAGGACATTGAATTGTTTCTTGTCTTTGGCTCTTATGAATAAAACTGTTCTGAACGTTCATGTTCAGGCTCTGGGTGAAAATAAGTTTTTACTTCTCTGGAAATATGTTTAGGAATGTATGGGTCTTATGGTAGTCACATATTTAGTTTTATAACACCTGCCAAACTGTTTTTTTTCAGAGTAGCTGTACCATTTTGCATCCCTACCAGCAATGTACAAATGATTTATTTTCTCCTCATCCTCACCAACATTTACTGTCACTATTTTTTTTATTTTAGGCCTTTTTATAGGTGTATAGCAATATCTCATTGTGGTTTTGATGTGCATTTCACTAATAGGTAATGATGTTAAATATATGTTCATGTGCTTATTTGCCATATGCACATCCTCTTTGGTGAAAAGTCTGCTCATATCTTTTGATGTTTTTTTAAACTATTGAGTTTCAAGTGTTACATATACTAGATACTAAAGATTTATTGGATATGTAGTTTGCAAATATTTTCTCTCAGTCTGTATCTTGTGTTTTCAACCTCCTAATGGTGTCTTTTGTAGAGCAAAAGTTTTTAATGTTGATAAGGTCTAATTTATTTTTTTTACTTTCATGGATTATGTTTTTGATACCAAACTGTAAGAACTCTTGGTTTTGTTCCACATCCTAAAGATTTCCTTTTATTTTTTTCCAAAAATTGTATAGTTTTCTCTTTTACAGTTAAGTCAGTTTTTCTTCTTCTGTTAACCTTTGTATAAGGTGTAAGGTTAACATCAGCTTTTTTTTGTTTTTGTTTATTTGGTCTTTGTTTTGGCCTATGAACTTCCAATTGCTCAGCACCATTTGTTAAATAGACTGTCTTTCCCCCATTGAATTGTTTTTGTATCTTTATCAAATGTCAATTAGGAATATTTGTATGGTTCTATTTCTGGTTTATTTTATTCTGCTGATCTATGTGTCTATCCCTCTGCCAATCTAGCATAATCTTGATTACTGTAACTATACAGTAAGCTTTGAAATAAGTCAGAC